AACTTTTAAAGTAATAGGCTGAGTATATATATATTTGAAAAGTTGTTGCTTTTACGAAATAATAATAATAATATAAAGCGAAATACAAGATGGAACCACAGAATCCGAAAAGTAAAGTAAAAAAAATTGAATGATGCGAGACAGAAAGAGAGAGAGAGAGAGAGAGAGAGACAAAAGTGGGAAAATCTTAATAAGAAAAGACTGAAGCGAAAAATTATTATTCAAGGGATCGTCTTCGTCAAGCCGCATAATAATTTTGCGGTTACAAAACTCTCCCCCGCGCGCTCTAACTCTTCTATACTTTTCATCGTGTGTATATATATTTCTGTCCCGCATGTCTCGCGCGTCCATGCTCTCATAAACTCACTTTCTGTCTGCGCGAGGGTTGAAACTGTTTGAAACATTGAAACTTTTAAACCAGAGGCTCACTCGCATTTGAATTTGCCTTTCTATAACGTATATATATATAATAACTCTTGAAACAACCGAGACTGTCACAAATAACGAATTATCCCCTCAAAATACATATTAGCGAATAAAAACACAATGTTGAATTTTCATTTGTCCAAAATTACAAATGACCGAACAAACAATTGATTTCGACGCATATTTTCGAAATTTGACCAATCAGAAATTATCAAGAAAATCGTGATTGGTCAATATTCGAAAATAGCGTCGAAATCGATTGTTTGTTCGGTCATTTGTAATTTCGGACAAATTTAAAAAATTAAAATTCGGTAACCAATTATTATTATTGTTATTAAATTGTTTCATTAATTAAAAATTAAAAAAAAATAAAATAAAACGTAAAACAAATAAAATATTTACCTTCTCTTTAGAGAGAGAGAGAGAGAGAGAGAGAGAGAGAGAGAGAGAGAGAGAGAGAGAGAGAAATGAAAACTAGATTGCCGAGAGTAGTTCCAGCGAAGGAAATTATCATCATGCGAGAGGTTGAATTCGTGAAACTCCGCCATACACCGTTTATCGGTTTCAAATAAAATCGACTCTCCATCTAATCTCTTTACCGGTCTCGATTCAACACTTCACCAACAGAAGTTGGTTGGTACTTCTCTCAAGAAATAGTTGCACAGGGTAAATTGAATTCACATCCTCCAATAGTGTATATATATATATATTATAAAAAAAATTTCGTCGCTATCTCCATATGGGTTATTCCACGTCAAAAATAACCAACCTAACACCTATATTTTTTGACGTAAAATGATGAAAATTTTTACGACGTGAAAATAGACAATCGGCTAAAATCACGCCCGTTCAAGGCGTGAAAATAGACAATTATCTAAAGTCACGCCTTTTCACGGCGTGGAAATAGACAATTATCTAAAGTCACGTCTTTTCACGGCGTGGAAATAGACAATTAATTAAAGTGTCGTTCGTTCACGACGTGAAAATAGCCAATTCTAAAGTCACGTTATTTTACGGCGTAATAATAGACAATCGGTTGGAGTGAAAATAGACATGCCTTTTTACGGCGTGGAAATAGACAAATGGCTGAAAACACTTCCTTTAACGACGTGTAAATAAACGTTTGGCTAAAATTACGTCAGTTAACGGCGTGGAAATAGACAATTATCTAAATTCACGTCTTTTTACGGCGTGGAAATAGACAAATGGCTAAAAGCACTTCCTTTAACGACGTGTAAATAAACGTTTGGCTAAAATTACGTCAGTTCACGGCGTGGAAATAGACAATTATCTAAAGTCACGTCTTTTCACGGCGTGGAAATAGACAATTCTAAAGTCACGTTATTTTACGGCGTAATAATAGACAATCGGTTAGAGTGAAAATAAAGATGCCTTTTTAAGAAGTGGAAATAGACAAATGGCTAAAAACACTTCCTTTAACGGCGTGTAAATAAACGTTTGGCTAAAATCACGTCACTTTACGGCGTGAAAATAGACAATTATCTAAAGTCACGCCTTTTCACGGCGTGAAAGTAGAAATTTTGCTAAAGAAATGTCATTTTACGGCGTGAAAATAGCTTTAAACATAACCTCAAATATTTAAATAAAATTTTAATAATTGCAAGTCTTTTAAAAAATTTACAATTAAAGTGGAAAATAACATTTATTCAATTAGAATATTATTTTAAAGAGATATTTTTCACGAGTATTTATAAATATATTATTATTTATATATTATAATATATTAATATTATATTATAATATATAAAATAATGAGGATTTAGTTGGAAATTGATGAGAATGAAAAGACACCCGGTATGAGAAGCGTAATGTCCGAACAGATAGAGTAGAGCTCCTCTTCTTGTCCCGCTGGGACCCAAACCAGTCCTACCACCGCCCATCCGTGACCCCAGACCTCGTCATCCGGTCGGTTGGTGGTTATAGTTCCTTTTACTTCTTCTTGTTTTACCGCTCAATTCTCCACTTTTTCTATTCTAATTCACTGTCCTTATATATATATATACTTTTCTATCACACCTATTTGTTTTACAATTTTTTTTTCTGTAACTATTTAACAAACTTCCTGTTAGGAAAATAAAATTATTTATGAGTAAAAATAAGTATATATATTTAAACCATTAGGATTTTCAGATTATTTTTTAACCCCCCCCCCCAGGAATAAAATTGTTTTTATATTTTTGCTTCTTAGAAATTAAATAACTCTTTAAAATTTTTGAATTCAAGACTATTTTTAATCCAAATAAGGAACAATTTTTTTTTTATTTAATAGATATTTAAGGCGTCTCTTTTTAGCACAGAAAAAATAAAATATTTAATTATTATTATTATTATTATTCATTATATTATTTTTAATGAAATAAATAAATTTTTGATTTAGATAAATTTTTTTCTTATTTTAAAAATCTGATAAAAAAAAGAAGTTTATAATTGAATAGTATGAGAAGTGAATAAGACACGTGTTATGTGCCGTTAGTCTGACGTCAAAGGTCTACTTATACTACTTAAAAGGAGTTAAGTCCTGCTTTCAGTCAGACCATTATATATATATTCTCTCATGGTATATGAATTCTTGTAATATTGACTTGACATTTTCGTAGAGATGAAATCGATAATTTAAATAATCAGATAATTCTTTAATATATAATAAAAATTGTTGCATTAAAAAAAATATTCTAAATTTTATATATATATAATCGATTTGAAAACATTTTTTACCTACTTAGAAAAAAATTTTCATTTTTTTTAAAATAAAAATTAAATTAAAATAAACTTTTTACATTAAACTTTTTTTTTGATATTAACGAGAAAATTGACGTGTATCTTGGGATATATAGAATTTAGTTTTCTGAGTGTAAGGAAAATTTAAAATAGGGTGCGGTGAACCCGAAATGGTATAGAGTTGAACATAAAATCTTGGGGTTTGATGTATTTTTGTGAGAGCTCATTTACTGTCTTGACGTTAGTTTTCTTCTTTCCCTCCTCTATTTCCAATTGAGAAGACTTTTCTTTTGCCACTCACAAAGTATATATATATATACACTCTATCAACCAATAAACTGAATTTATAGTTTCACATTCCCTAACGCAGCAAAAAAAAAAAAAAAAATGGGGAAAGGTAAAATTAATATTAATAGGGTTTTATATTCTAAAACCATAGAGTAAACTAATTATAATTTTTTCAAAATAATAACTCTAATAATAATAATAATAAAAAATCACGATTAATAAATCGTAATTTTCTTTTTTCTTTATACAAAAACGATTTTAATGAGTTATTAAATACTTAATTTATTTGTTTTTTTTTGCAATAATCCGTAAGGTTATTTATTATAGTTAAGTAATTCGCATGTATTTTGTGATGTACTCTTCGATAGGTAAAGTGATTTAAACAGGTGGTGGGCAAGGTGAAAACAATTTATCATTCTCTTATAAAGCTCTTTGTTTATAAGTAGAGGTCATTATCGTCTTGAATGCATTTTAAAATTAAACACGAGGTCAATGTATTTTCACTTCTTTTTTTCCTGTCACATTGTAATATAAGGAATAAAATAATTTTTTTCATTTTAAAATTAATTTAAATTATAAAAATTGAGTTGTTTTTTTTTTTTTGTTATTTTTATACAATTTATTTGGTTCAAGTAAATATTTATTTGATTCGCAAGTAACCGATTATTTGAATGAAATAATTTTTTTTGAAATGTATAGTTTGGAGCATCAAGTAAATGTGTAAAATGGTTTTTAAACGTAACGAATTAAAAATCGTGTTTCATTGGATTTTTTTTTCGACTGACATATGCAGTTGAATAACAATGGGAAATGCATCAATGTCATATATAATCATCTATATAGGAGATGAATGTGATGAAACTACACATACACTCACACATAAATACATATATATATGTAGAATATATACACGTGCTGCATTTGAGGCGCTGCTATTGAATAGGGAACGGATTACCCCTGCCTTGTGCCAATATACCCCACACACCCTATTTTCCTTTTGCAAGCCACATCATTCCCCACCGCGTGTGCCCACTATATATATATTCATCCCCGTCAGAGTATAGCACTTCTTGTGCTCTGTTCCACTCTCTGACTGTGACTATACTCTCTCGAGGTAGCAACGAACATCAGTCGACTCGACAGACTCTCTCGCTTCACCTAAACGAGAGATAATCTCTCCTGAATAATGACTGAAGGATGGAAGCATTGAATTTTCTCTATAGGTGAAGCTGAAAATTCTCGTTTCTTTGGTACTAAAATATATATATATATATATATATATTTTAAACCCTCGTGTTTAAGGCTATGTTTAATGCAAAGGGGAAAAATATTTTTATTTTATCATAAGCAATCAAATAACTGTTTAAACCGTTGGGTTTGATGCTATTTTAAAACTGTACATTGAAAAAAAAAAAAAAATTTATTTCATTTAAATAAAAAATTTTAATAAATAGGCTAGTAGGCTGTGAGACAAATATTTAACTCAAATATATTTTATTAAATAATAAAACAAAATATTTATATCAATTTATTTATTTTGCTTACAGGTCTGAAATATCTTCACTCTGCGAGGATTCTCCATAGGGACATTAAACCTGGGAACCTTTTAGTAAATAGTAATTGTGTCCTAAAGGTAATTTTTCTATTTAAAATTTTAATTTATATATTTATATCAATAATTATATGTTCAAATAATAATTTTAATAAGAATGATCAATTGTTATTGTATTAATTGAATTAAAATTTTTAGATCTGTGATTTTGGACTGGCGAGAGTTGAAGAACCAGACCAAACGAAACACATGACCCAGGAGGTAGTGACGCAGTATTATCGAGCACCGGAAATTTTAATGGGTGCACGACATTACACGGCTGCAGTTGATGTGTGGAGTGTCGGTTGTATTTTCGGTGAACTTCTACAAAGAAGAATTCTTTTCCAAGCTCAAAGTCCCGTGTTGCAGGTAATTTTTTTTTTTTTTAAACTTAAAATATTTTATTCATATCAAAGATTCTTTTTTTTTTTTTTTTATTTAATTCTAATAAATAGAAAACCTATATTTTACTCTCTACGATTTCAATGATAATTATATATTCAAACTCTAGAGAGTAAAATGACTAATTTTAAACCCAAAATAGAAAAAAATATCATTTATCTGATAAAAAAAAAAAAAATTTATTTCATTCAAATACTCGATTACTTGACTATTATCAAATAAATATTTATTTGTGTCAAAATTAATTTATTATAATACAATTTATTTAATTAAAATAAAAATTATTTAGTTTAAGTAAATATTTATTTGATAATAGTCAAGTAATCGAGATATTTGAATGAAATAAAGTTTTTTTTATCTATATAGATAAAATAATATCATATTGTTGCCATTTAAATATATATATATAAATATAATCTGAATATATAAAATTTCACGCAGCAATTTATAATAATAGCTCGACGCAATGACACTCGAGTGAAAATAATTAATGAATCATTGTTTCTTGACTGTGAAGTTGGAGCTGATCACGGAATTGCTGGGAACGCCAACCCTCGAGGATATGAGGTACGCCTGTGAGGGAGCCAGAACTCATATGTTGAGACGCGCCCCTAAACCTTCCTCGCTCACGGCTCTTTACACCCTCAGCAGCCAAGCGACGCACGAGGCCGTACATTTGCTTTGCCAGATGCTAGTCTTCGATCCCGTAAGATTCTTTTTAAATTATATTTTGCGTTTAAACATTTTTTTTAAAACATTTTTTCTCGGTCTCTGTTATTTTTAAAACCGTACAAGAAGTTTCGTAAAAATAATTAATTTTTAAATTAAATGTCAATAGAATGTTAAAAAATATATACATTTAAAATGAATTCTATTTTACCGACCGATGGTAAAACAGTCAAAATATGAAAAATGAAAATATAAAAAAAATTATCGACACAGAAATCAACCTTACCGACTGACGGTAAAACAGTTTTTTTGAAAAATGAAAAACAAATTACCGACATAGAAATCTACCTTACCGACTGATGGTAAGACAGTTTTTTTGGAAAATATAAAAATTACCGACACAGAAATCTACCTTACCGACTGACGGTAATTACCGACTGCTGGTAAAAGTTTTGAAAATTCAATAAAATTTCACAATTTACCATCAGTCGGTAAGGTAGATTTCTATGTCGGTAATTTTTATATTTTCATTTTTAAAAAAACTGTTTTGCCATCAGTCGGTAAGGTAGATTTCTATATCGGTAATTTTTTATGTTTTCATTTTTCAAAAATAACTGTTTTACCATCAGTCGGTAAGGTAGATTTCTATGTCGGTAATTTTTCATATTTTCATTTTCCAAAAAAATCAGTCGGTAAGGTAGAATTCTGTGTAGGTAATTTTTATATTCTCATTTTTTCAAAAAAAACTGTTTTACCATCAGTCGATAAGGTAGATTTCTATGTCGGTAATTTTTTATATTCTCATTTTTCAAAAAAAAACTGTTTTGCCATCAGTCGGTAAGGTAGATATCTATGTCGGTAATTTTTTATATTCTGATTTTTAAAAAAAACTGTTTTGCCATCAGTCGGTAAGGTAGATTTTTGTGTCGGTAATTTTTTTATGTTTTTGATTTTTCAGAATTTATTACCATCTTGTTAATTTTTTAATCTTCTACTATTTTTTTTTATGTGATAGTCATGCGCCTTGGAAAAAAGAATAGAATGTCACAAGTGTTATTGGTGAAAATATTGAAACTGAAATTCGAATTCTTGTTTGCAGGACAAAAGGATCACGGTGGTGGACGCTTTGGCTCATCCGTATCTAGACGAAGGAAGACTGAGATATCATTCGTGTATGTGCACGTGTTGTTACACAACGAGTGCTGGTATGAGGCAGTACACAGGGGACTTTGAGCCAGCAACGTCGCATCCTTTTGATGATTTCTGGGAGCGAAAGCTCACGAGCGTGCATCAGGTGAAAGGTCAGTTTGTTTTCAACTCTAATAATGTGGTTTTACTTTTGATAATCTATTTTTATTCCATTAGATATTAATTGTAATTAATTAAAAAATTTTGTCAAATTTAATAAAAAAAACATCAAAATTTGACGAAGTAAAAATTACAAAAAAAAAAATATAAAATAATTTTTGACAATTATTTTTTATGTTACAGAGGAAATGCACAAATTTATTGCGGAGCAACTTAATACGTCGCGCGTACCACTCTGTATAAATCCGCAGTCCGCGGCATTCAAGAATTTTGCAAGGTAAGATTTGAAAAAAAAAAAGCTCGTTGTCGGCCAGTCACGATAATTACGATTTCTCGCGATCAATTTTTATCGACTACCTCTGCTGAGAAAAAAAAATATGAAACAACCGTTACCTAAGTCCTATGATAACCAATTCCTCGCCAAATATATACTAAATTTACCCCCTACCCTCTCCTTCATTTTCTCTCACGATTCTCATCCTTCTCGTTAGATGATGATGATAATGATCAATATGATGACGATCATTTAAGTGAGACGACCATCATTGAAATATTGACTGCTCGAGAGGAAAATATCACAACGCGATTTCACTTTAAAAAAAAAAGAAAAAAAAAATTGAAAAAATGATCGGTCACTGACAGGCACGATAGCTTGAGAAAACAATAATTATTTGAATAATTGAGAGATTTGCTTACAAAAGAATTTTTTATATTTCAATAATTAAAAATTATTATCTGTATGTGATGCTTTTTCCCCTTCCTGACAAATATCCAATTCGAGGTTCACGAGTTTAACTGTCAAAAATGGCTGTCAATTTGTACTATTCTACTAATTGGAAAATTTTGTAACAAATTTTTTGCGTCTGAATTCAGACAATTTTTTAAGACTTATCTTAAATCTGAAAATGAAAACACTAATAATTAAAATTACTTTTTCAATCTTAGGGTTTAAGTAAATTTTTTTTTTTTTTTAATAAAGAGAAAAATAAGATTTAAAAAACTACTTTGAACTCCAAATAAGTAAATTAATTAAACCCTCGGGGAATGATTTTGAAATTAAAATAATTTATTAAAAATGTACAAGACATTTTTTTTTTTGTCAGTAAATTTTTAAAGCCAGAACCTCGAAGACTTTAACGAATTTTTTTTTTTTTTACTGATTATGATTGTCTTGCTTACTGCCGTCAAGTTAGAGCAAGACATCCGCCATCCCAGCACCGTGCGCCGCGTATATGTACACATTGCCACTACCGAATCAGCTATCTGCCACTGTCAGCTACTACTACTATCGTCTACTACTACTACTACTACTACCGATCGTTACGTCTCCTCCTGAAAGAAACCGATTGACCGAGAAACAGCTATAAGTCGGCACAACCTCGCTAAGAGGTACTTAAACTAAACTTTATCTTTTTATGTTTCTTTTTTAACATAGATCCTTATCATCTTTCTTTCTATTTGTGCTGTACAGAGTCAAGAATTTTTTGTTTTATTTTTTTTTTTCTTTTTTGAATGGCGAACGAGTCCGCTTTAAACGAGAGGCACATGAGAATTTTTAAAACACTAAAATATTAATGTTACAGAGTCTTTTTCTATCTTCATAAGGGTCGTTACAACTTCTTTTTTCAACAAGAAGAATAATTTTAACACTTTCTATCAAAAAAATTAAATTTTTGCTACATTAGAAAAAAAATTTTATCAATTTTTTTGTTTTACATTTTACAAAATTTGTTCCTTTCTTACTAAACGAAATATAACAATTTGTAATAATAATAATAATAATAACAATAGAAGTTGCAAACTTTGAAATTATTTCCATTTTTTCTATTTTGAAAAATTTGTAAATTTCAATATTTTTCAATTTCTATTATCAACAGAAATTAGAAACACTTAACAATTGATATTTTTATGAAACAAAAGTTTATCAATGTCTCTATACACGTGTAAAATAGTCGGTTCTTTAATATACTAATAAAAAAAAAAAATTTCCATCTAAACAAAATTTTGATCAAATATTTTTTCCTATAAAAATTACAAATTTGCTATTTTTCTCGAAAAAAAATTCTTATGTAGAGTGTTCTTTTTATTAACAATAAATTGTATGTAAAAAATGTTTGACAAATTTTGAGATAAAAAATTGATAAAAGAAAAAAATTTTTGGCAAAAAATGTATATATGTATTAAAGGTAAATTGATTATTAACACGAATGCAGGACTCGTTGCTTTGTTGTTTTTCTCACATCACAGAACATGTAAATAATGCAAAAAAAAAAAAAAAAAAGCTTTTCATTGAATGATTTTTTTCTTCTTCATTAACATGTGGGTGTCATTGCGTTTTAGAAGGCCTGATCAACCATGCAGCCTTCAGTTATTTTTTTTTTTTATCTCGAGCTCAAAATACTCGCCGCGGTACTCGTTAGCTCAAGTACCCCCCCATTGGATACTAACCTCGTTATAAATAGTGGCCCCAAAAAAAAACCCCTCTGAATTCCATAAATGAACGCTCCCCCCAATAGATAATCCACGATAGGCCTGGTATTAACCATCATCTCCTGTAACTTACCCCTCCCAATCCCTGTAGTTAGATTACACTTTATTTATATAGAATAAAATGGACCTTCCATGGAAAAGAAAAAACTCAAAATTAAATTTTATTCATTAAATATTTAAAAAAAAAATTTTTTTTGTTTTATGTTTATAATAATGACCTTTATGTCAAATTTTTTTTTTTATTTTGCGAAATATTTGTAATAAAAAAAAATTGAAATTCGAAAAATACTTTTCTTTTTTTCATAATTTTTGGGATGAAATAAATTTTTAAAATCAATTGTTAGAATTTTCATTTGGAAAAGAAAAAAAAAACATTTTTTTATTCGGTTTTTAATAAAAAATAAAAATTAAACAGAAAAGTTACACTGTATGGTAATGTTATATACATTATTTCCAATAATTTATGTCCGAATGTAGAAAAAAAAAAATTTTAATCAAAATTAAGAAAATTTAAACAAAATAATTTACTGCAATAATTAAATAAATTTTTTTTAATTAGAAATACGTAAATAATTTGAATAAAATTCACTAATTTTACTTATTTTGCTATTGTATAGAAGCATAAAATAAAATTTTTCTAATTTTCTAAATTAATATTTGTTATCAAAACTTTTATTTTTTAATAATGTTTAATTTTTTTTCCTTTTTTTTCTAATTATAAAACAAACAATTGTTTAAAAATAAAGTATTTTTTAATAATTAAATTTTGAACTGTTATTTAATTTTTGTTTATTGTGCAATTGGTAAATATATTCTTGAAAGTGCTTTCAATAGCTAAAAGTAAGAAAAGATAGTAATTTGAATTTTTGCTTTTTCCTGGAATGTTCCAAATCTCAATTGCTTTGCTAAGACAATATTTTTTTGTTTTGTTTTTTTTTATAATAAAACTAAGTATTTGAATTTTATTTTATTTTAACATTATATATTAAATTATTATAACTATAGTTACCAAAAATAATTGAAAACAATTTAATATTTTAAAAATTAAAAAAACACTGATAAAAAAATTGAAAAAATTATATTAATTTTATTTTTAATTTTAGAAATTTTCAAATAATTTTCTATATTGATTTTTTTAAATTTTAATAATTTTCACTTTAAAATTTATTGAAAATTCAACAAATCCTTGGCAAAGCAAAAAACTTGAGAGAAATTTTTGTGGTATCAGCGTTATATAGCTTTTGAGATTGCCCTACGCTAAAGTTAAGTATAAACTAAGTATTAGAAAAGTGACGAATCGGAGAAAATGATCCAGATTGTTAAAAGCTGTCACATATGCTGACAGCTGCATGGAAATCAGATGAAATTCCTTGTGTGTCTTTGTGCATCATATTCCAAAAAATATTCACTCCACCAAAATCATTAAGCAAATTGAAAGAATTTGAAATTTTCATTTAGTCAAAAATAAAGTACCTACTTTGAAAAAAAAAATAAATAAATAAAATTTAAATTCTTTTAATTTTGCTTAAAAGGAAAATGCAGTATCGAATCTTTCTTTTTTTTCACAGAAAAGTAAAATTCATTTAATTTAAAAGATACTAAATTTTCCTTGCCAAATAAAAATCACGTTTGTTCACGAAAAGCATATAAAAAAAAAAATTATTTTTTTCTTTCTTTCTTTAATCTGCATTTGTTCATATAACTAAAAACAAATAACAAAAAGCTTTAAAAATAAAATAAATTTAAAAAAAAAATTAATTTTCTAATGTTTTTTTTGTGACTCAACATTTACAGCTCAACAGTGGCGCATCCTTCGGAATTGCCACCGTCTCCCCATCAATGGGAATAAAAGCTTCTTCGAGTTGGACACGAATCGTCTTTTGCAGTCTTCTTGTTCCAAAAGCGAATCTTGGACGTCGACGCGCACACAAAAAAAAAGTTTTTGGACGACTCAAGAAAAAAAAAAAAAATATATATATATATATATAAAAAACTGTGAAGAATAAGCCAAGAGAGACAATAGACTGCCGAGCAATGTAGCCTGAAAATTTTTCGACTAGCTGATTTAAAAAAAAAAAACACGAATTTTAGGAGAGAAACGTAGCTAATTAAATATGCAATTTGCCGAAAAAAAACTACAATGCAAAAAAAAAAAAAAAAAAAAAATAGACAATTACATAAAATAGGGAATATTTTCGAGAGACATAAGCGAGAGGCTGAATGATTAGTTGATAAGGGGAAACAATGGAAAAAAGGGAGAGAAATACGAGAAAATCTCGACAGTGAGAGGGCCAGTTTTTTAGATTTACTTTTTTTTTTTTTTTTTATTTTTATTTTTATTTTTGTAAATCACAAAGACGGCTGGCATTTAATGACTGTGAGTACTAAAGGTGGATATGCCTGGTACACCTTGACAATTATCTTTCTATTATTTAAATCGAATTGATAGTGATTCGAAAATATTTTTTTTTTTGGTAAATAATTTTTTCTTTCCTTTTCTTTTTAGAGAAAAGGAACACAGCGAGTTTAATAATTATTATTATTATATCGCTTGCCTGATGTGTTTATAATGTAATTAACAAACAAAAGAAAAAAAAAAACTCCACTGATCTTAATTGCATACGTCAAATATTAAGACTACTGTAGTTAGAATTGTAATCTATAAGGAAGAACAATCTGTAATTAAATCAATTGAATTGTAATTTAATCAACTTTCCACGACAGTGGCGAACGAGGCCAAGTAATTATATTCTAAGAAGCACGTATTCGTGTTGATCTTAATACAAAACGAAAAAAAAAAAATGATACATTGTGTACATTATGAAACCAAGTAGGTCCATCATTTTTTTTTTTTTTTACGATTTTTAAAAAGGGAATTTGAGGACAAATATCCAATTGTAATTTGCTAAAAATTGATTGACTCTTTAAAAAAAAAAAAAAATTCCTAACTTCAATTACATTTCTGAATAATTATTTTTATTCACAATTTTGTATTTGCAATAATAATAAGCCCTTGTAAAAAAAACAGAAGAATTATTAAATATAATTCTATAAGAAAAAGTGAATCAATAAAATTAATTTGATTCTAAAAGATGAAGAAAAAATAATTGACGATTTTTTTTATAAATAATAAATAAATTTAAATTAAAAAATAAATAATTGGAGAATTAAATTTTTTAAATTTAAAAGCAAGAAAAATGTCCAATTGATTTGCATGTTAAATAATTAATACTCAAAATTTACTTGACATTGACATATAATTTTAATGAGAAAAAAAAAACAATGAATTTACAGAATTTTTAGAAAAAAAAAAGAAAGAAACTCAACTTTGAGTATGTTAATAAAAATTGTTTAAAATCTAAATTATTAATTTACATTAAATAATTTATTTAAATTTTAACTATTAGACGAATATTAATTTCTCAACTGACAAAAAATTATTTCCATTTTTGAAATGTAATTGAAGTCAGAAATTGTGGGAAATTTGTAAATTTTTGATTACAATTAAGATAAATAGTAATTTATCAATATAATATGTATTATACTAATGAATGACTATTATTATTTAAAATAAGGGCAAAATGTAAAAAATGAGGGGGATAAGAATTGAAAAAAAAAAAAATCATTGATATTGTACAAAATAAGCCGATGGACATTCGACAAAATAAATAATTAAAGGCTGTATTCTTATTTGAATGCAATTACCGTTTTTTTTTTCGCAATTTTGTGAACGACTAGATAAGGATATTATGCGGCCTTCCAATTAATGAACGATTTCAAAGTAAAGCACTGCCGAACGTTTAAAATGTGATTTTAGATTAATTTTTTTATGTCGTGCAATATCAGATTTTAAAAGAATTAAGCAAAAAAAAAAGTTTTTTTCTTGTTTTTGGTTAAATTAACAAATAATTCTGTTTTCCAGTGACAACTTTTTGTTGAAAAAATGGGATTTAATATTAAATTTCAATTCAATAACATAATTATTCAATTAATTAAATTACAACTTTCTTTTTATTTCTATTAATAACTCTTGAAAATTGAAATTACGTGAAAGAACTCAAAAAAAAAAAAACAAACAAAATGTGTTCTAAATAACATTGTGATTATTTCTAGATAATAATCTAGAAATTTGTGTTTCGCGCAGCTTTGCTTTACTTTGAATCCTAAGGGGGAACCTTAATCTATGAAAACTTAGAACAATTTTTATTTAGTAATTGAATTTAAAAATCCTTACTATAGGAACGTGCAATTCCTATTTAAAAAAAAAAAATAATAATAAATCAAGTCGAGGACGATAGTAAAAGTCAAATTTTTTGACAAAAAAAACACTGCCGTTAAATAAAAAATAAAAAAAAAATATATAAGAAAATTTATCGCAATGATTTGGCAAATTTAAACAAACAAAAAAAAAAAGAAAAAAAAACATTAATTTAAGAAGAAAAATGAAAAATCGGTTGTCGACTTAATAATAATGATAATAATTAAGGGACTTTTTTTTCCTTCATAATATTGTAATATGAAAATCGAAATTTCTTTGATTTTTAATTATAGTCCAACATTGGAACGAACTGTAGATATATACATATATATTTTTACTTTCTGAGTGTGATTTTAGATTAATTTTTATTATTTAAGAAGTCATCGAGTTAATTGCAAGAGTGTATAATTTTTGTAATTAATAGATAGATAGAAATTTAAGTTTAATTTGGTCTCATCATTTTTTTGATTTCATGTATATGAAACCCATCCGCATCCGCCAATTTTAAGTATAATTTTTACAATCCCCCTGGGATTTATAACGCCAGTAAATAAATTGAAAAAAAAAAATCAAATTATTTTCAAATATTAAACTCTAAACGTTTTTTTTTCACATAAATATCATTTATTTGACTCGAATAATAATTATTCAAATAAATATTTATAATTCGTTACAAAAAAAAACAAATTTATTTAGTTTAAATGAATAACGGATTATTTTACGCAAATGTATATATATTTGTTAATATATGAGTTTTAATTTCATGAACAGAAAAAAATAAAAGCGGGTCACATGTACAATAATATTATTAATAATAGAAATAATAATAATAATTATGATAGTAATAATAATATTAATAATTAATAATAATAATAATAATTTGCGGATGGGTTCATCTTTTATTTTACGTACAGCAAGGCTCAAGAGATCGCCGTTAATATTTTTTCGGCTCGATTTATTAATAAATCTAAGTTTAAATGAATTTATTGTTTTAAGTAATTTTTTTTTTTCTATTTTTTAAGAATGGTTTGAACAAAGTAATAACTAAAAGAAATCACGTGCGAAATTACAGGGAGAAAAAAGTGGTTTTTTTTTTTTTTTTTTTTTCTTGAGAAATATCACACGCACATGTTATTCAAAAAAATTAATTTCTTGTATTGTGACGAAATTATATTTTTCAAAAAAAAAAAAAAAAAATTTGCCAATTAAGCGACATTATTAAATTTGTAAATAATTTAATTAACGCTTCTTGTAATTAAAAATTGTACAATAATTCATCAAAATTTACTCTTTTATTTATAAAATTTTACTATTTTTGTCAAATTATAATTGTGAAAAAAAATGACAATTATTCAGAAAATTTGGAGAAAAAATTTTTGTTTTTAATTTTATTGACTTGCAAAAAAATTTGGTCATTAGGTAAAAATAAATAATTGGAAAATTCTGTAAATTTATATTTTAGATTAAACAAAATTGATGGGAAAAAAAATAAATGTTTCTTTTTCTCAACAAAAAATTTCAATCCATGACGATTCGTTAATTTAAGAATTAAAAAAAAAAAATGGAAAACAATAGGTAAAAATAAACATTAAAAAAATATATATATATATATTATAGGCATGATGTGACTAACGGCCTCCAAATTTGAAAAGAATTCTCAAAGTTTTTTTTTTTTTTTTTTGCCAAAACAAAAATTATCATTGTTATTTTTAAAATTCTTTTTTGTTTCTAAAATGCAAGGCTAATTGGATTGAGATTGAAATTAATTGAATGAACGAAACTTCTTTAACAGAAAAATGAAGAAAAAAGGAAAAAAGAGATGAGAGTTAAAAAAAAAAAAATGTTTTTCATGCTGCTACTTCTGTCAAGTTTCGTCCATAAAATGTAAATTGTACATTTCGTAAATATTACAAATGGGATTTCAAAAAATAATAATAATAATAATAATAATAATAATAATGTAAAGAAGTTGCAGTTAGAGAAACTCGCGAATCAGTGAGACAAAGTGTATAAAAAAAAAGTACAATTAAAAATGAGTAAGATGGGAGGAAAAAAAAGGGAGGAAAATGGGAACGTGACTTTCTATACAAGGAGTTTTGTAAATAATCCATCAGCCAGTAAGCGTTACCCTCTCCTATTGATAGCCAGCAAAAGCTGCCGTTACAATAATATTAGTAATAATATTAGTAATAATAAAATAATAATAATTATAAAAACATTATTAATATTAATGAAAATAGTAATAATAAAAATATTAATAATAATATTAATAATATTAATATTAATAATAATAATAATATTAATAATAATAATAATAATATGAATAATAATAATGGTAATAATATTATTAATGAAAAACATAGTAATAATAATAATTCGATAATTAGGATTTAGACTTTCTTTCTCCCTGTAAGATAATCGCATGCGATAATTCGTGGGGTGAAGAGTAATTATTTTTTTGGAATCATTAAATATTTTGCTCTACTTGCGTGTAAATATGTAATTGTAGTTTTCAAAAAAAAATTAAATTTTTTCATAAGTTTCCTTTTTTTTAAATTTAGAAACATTTTTTTTTTCTTACCTTATTTTTTACCTCTTCACTTCACGATGAGATTCACATCTTTCGCAGATCTCATTGTATTATATAAATATGTACTTCAATTTCCAAAACTAACTTTCGAGAAAAAAACCAATAATTCTTTTTTTTTATATAAATAAAAAAATATTTTACAAAATAAAAAGAAAATACTTTTTTAATTAATAAAAAAAGTTATAAGCCAAGTTTTGTGAAATTGAATCGGTTCTTTTTAATTGCAAATTATTTTTTTTTTTGTACGAAAATTACCGATGATAGTTAAGTTAATTAATGAAATTAATTGTAAAATGAATGTGTCAAAGAGAGTGAGTGAAAGAGAAATTATGTTTTCCTATTATTAATAATAATAATTATAAAAAAAAAAGAAAAAAAAAAAAAAAAACAATGATACTTAACAATGTGGCTTGTAAATATTGTAGCTCACTGTAGCTGGTCAGTCGGGCATTTTAAAGACACATACACATATTAAATTTTGAAAATTGAGAAAAAAGTTATCACAACTACGAAACAAAAAAGTGTAACTGAAAAATTATTTTTTTTTTTTTTGCTTATTATTGTAACACAAAATTTTATGCGATTAAAAAACAAAATAATATGAGAAAAAGATATGCACTATCAATTTTGTAGTTTGCATTTTTAATAAATCGAGGAAAATTATGTGGAGGCTATAAGTAATTTGTAACTACGATATTATAATTATGAATTTAAAAAAGAAGAAAAAAAAAAAAAAAACAAATATACTCCACGATAGTAATATTATTGCCTTCAATTATGAAAAAAAAGCGGCTGGCACAAGAAGCACCAAACAATAAAGATGCTGAAATAAATTTAAAAAAAAAAAAAAAAAAGAAGGAAATGCAGTATTTTCTATATTATTTGCAGTTTTTTTTTTCGTTTGCGCACATATCCATCTATCCATGTCCTTTTTTTAATTTTCCCTACTTTTTTTTTTTATAGAAATATTATGGAATTATTTATTATTATTATTATTATTATTTATATTATGAAAAGAAAGTTATTATAATTTCAGTGGATTTTTTTTTTAAGCAAAATTTATTTTTTAATTTCGAAGATTGAGGTTCCATTTTTTAATTTAAAATAACTGTACTTAATTGAAGAATATTTAAGACGAGTACTTAAATTAAAAAAAAAAACAACAAATTTTTATCTATTGTTTTTGCTTTTTTTCTCACTGCAAAGCAATTTTCTTTGTGAGAAATTTGAAATTCAAAATGAAATATTTGCTTGTGAAATCCATTTGTACAGTAAAAATTTTGACGTTTTAGCGATATATGTATATATCAAATTATAATATATATATATATGTATAGAGCATATTGAAAAAGCTTGAAACAAAAATTTTTTTCTTGGTACTTTTTCAAAAAAAAATTGTGCGTCGCGAGCTGAAAACTGTAAGGGGATAATCTATCAAAAAAAAAAAAAAAAATTCAGCGATACTTGTCCCAAATTTTTTTTTTTTTTTTTCTATAAAGGGACCTAATTATATCAGGTAAATTTGGTTTGGTTATAACATAATTTTCGTTATAGCACTCTCTGTGATTAATCGAAAATATTTCTAATAGAAGAAAAAAGAAATAGATAACCAGAAAGGCATTATTGGATAGAATTACATATATAAAAAAAAGAAATGAAAAAAAAAAAAAAAAAAAATTTAAGTGTAGAGCAATAGATAGAATTGCAAACAATGTTTCAAATATAAAACTGTAAATAAGTGCACTTTTTTTTATACAAATGCTCATTTTGGTAAAGAAAAAAAGAAAGAATAAGTCAAACCCTAGATTCTCAGCCTGCGACATTATTGTATATAATATAATGCGGGATGATTTTCAATTGACAGTGATATCATTAATAAATGTAATAATAATTGTATATAAATGTATATTATCTTAAAAAAAAAAGAAAAAAAAAATTGTACCGATCTTAATTAATTTTCCAATATTAATGAATTCATCGTCAAAAAATATATGTCGCTTTGATATATATATATATTGTAGAAAATAGCGGTCAAAGTAAAGTGTGATGACCTGTCGTTAGAAACTAAGAGGCCTTAATATAACACATTTATATGATATACAATTTATGATTATATGTGTGTAAAAAAATACGTAAAAAAAAATTTTGTGCTTTATAAATATGTGCATAAAAATTTTCAATAAAAATGTCTACTTCATTTTTTTTTTTTATATATTCACATCATATTCAAATTATTGACTTAAAAATTGAATTAAATTAATTAAAAAAATTATTATAAAATATAATTTTTAAGATAATATATGTGTGATTATAAATACTAATAATGAAGTAGAATAATTAGATATGTACAGATTAATAGTTTATTTGTAAATTTGAAAGTAGTGAGCACTCTATTTTTTTTTCAATTGAAATATTAATAATTTGCAATTAGTGGTTTCTTTTTTCTTTGCAAAAAAAAAAAAAATGAAATTAAATATAATTTTTCTCTTATAACTATAATTTTAATTATAATTCTAATTTTTATATATAATTCAGTAAAAATTAATTTAATTATAAATAATCCATTATAATTTTGATTTTTAAAAAATTTATTTTGTCTAAAAAAAAAATAAGAAACTTATTTTTTTAAAAAAAGCTTTTTACTAGCACTGACAATTTTTTTTTATACACACAAAATTCTAATATAAAATCAATATTTAATAAAAATTGATGATATTTAAAAAAAAATCTATCATTACAAAAAAAAGTTATTCCTTATAACAATTAAATTTAATAACGTTTAATCATCATATATAGTTCGAAAACTCTTGTCTCGTTAGCGATTTTATAAAATATAATAAAAAATTAAATAAAAATTCGATTTTTTAAAAAATATTTTTTTTTTGTAATATAACAATAAAAATGTGGTAAATTAGAAATGAGGTAAAATTTCGTATTGTTATATGGCAAACTGATAATGTAAAGAGCACATAATTTAAAAAAAATTTTCGTTTAAATTTATTACAAAAAAAAAAAAAAAAAAAAAAAAAAAATTATCGCAAGTAGATCAACGAGCTACCGTATAGGAAATTAGTAGAGTGACTCGATAAATTTATCTTTTTTCACCACTTTGTCACTCTTTATTAATATTACGTTAACTGATAAAAATTCTTGTTGTAAATATAAAACAAAATTTCGAAAAAAAAAAATCCTAGAAAAAAGAAATTAGATTTCCTCTCCATATAAAAATGAAGCATAGTCTCTCCTTTTATTTGTAATTGATTGAAAAAAAAAAATTGAAAAAAAATTTGAATGATTTAATAAAAAAAAATTTTAATATGAAGCATTTAAAAAAAATCATAATTTCTTAAAAAAAAGAAAATTCAGAAATTATTTTACTCTAAGAGGAAAAAAAAAAATTTCTTTAAAATATGAAATTAATTTTTTCTAGGTATATATAAAAAACAATAATAAAAATAATTTATCATATTGGTATGAATGTAAATTTTTTTCTTTTTTTAATTGTAAAATAATCTCAAAAAATAATGCGTACCTTGAAAGTAGCCGAAGCCTTTTTCGCGAGTAGATTATTATTAATAAATATTAGTCATTGAAAAAAATTGAATCGTAACAGAAAACTGTGTTTAAAAAAAAAAAAAAATAGTGACTTTGTCGAAAAAAAACTTGGCACAAACACCTCAAAATAGATAATGTTGCAAATAATTGCTGTAGATTATCTATTATAATATAATATTCGTATATAATATTATAATAGCGATTTAAGCCTTAACTAATTTTACAAAGTGAATTTAATCGTTTTTACGATATATTCACTAAATTGTATTATAAAATATTTAATGACGATAATAATTATAAGAATAATATTGAGAAAATTAATTATATAGATATCTACCAAAATATATATATATATATTAATTAATTGATAATTATAGATGGTAGATCTAAGTTCAGACATTAATAATTAAGAATCTCAAATACTGTAAATAAAAAAGTATATAATCAGAAAAAATATTATATATTCTAAATCGTGTCTACGTATAGAATTTTTTCTATATAAAATAAAATATGTCGGCTTTAAAAAAAATATACTACTCTCTGTTAATTGAAATTAAATCGCAATTTTCTCATTCCTAAAATTTTAACTAATTTAGTATGTTATTAAAAAAAAAAACTGAATAATTTCATTTCGAGATTTACATGTGAGAATTATATTTTTCAATTCAAACAAAAAAAAATTTTTTTTTTTTATACTAAAAGATCAATTTTTGGTAATGATTAATTATTATTATTTTTATATATAAAATTTTTATTAATAATTATTTGTTTAAAAAATCAATTAAAAAAAATGAAAAATAATTAAAATCTTACAATTGTAAATCTTGATGTGAATAATTTCATGTTTAGATAATAATGTAAGGAAACATTTCTTCTGCATCGTGAAAAATTTCGAAAACTGGACCAATTTTTTTTTTGTTTTTTTTTTTTTTTTGTCTATTGTGTAAATAATGAGATTTTTCAAATTAATTCATTTTGACTGGCAACACGTAAAGGATGCAGAAGAAAAAAAAAATACAAGTTCGACTTGATGTTCTGTGTGTCTAATTAAAATTAGTGCTTAGTGTAAATTTAAAAATTCATTTTTGTATATCACCCCTTTAAAAAAATATCTTATTTTTTTAATTAAATAAAATTTTTTATTAAAATTAGATTTCATTAGTTTTTCAAAATTTTTAATTCAATATTATTTTTTTCTCTAGAACAAAAAAAAATCTAATTTTGTAATTTCTTAAAAAATCATATTAATCCTTTATTTGAATATGAACTATTTAATTATTAAATATATTTTATTTGTAAAAATGTCTTCCTCGATAATAAATATTAAATTGAAAAAATATATGAGACCCCACATATATAAATAAAGAAGTTTTCTTATATATACATATATTAAAAAAGGATTAATTTTATCGCGTAACTGTACAGTTTACAATTAATATAAATTAAATAAAATTACAATTATAAATGAGGAATTTGTGAACAAAGCCTTAAAAATGAACGTTTTTGTGTTTTACGATACAAGAGACAGAAAATTCAATTCTTTTTTATAAAAAAAAAAAGAAATTCGTTTTTTTTCAAATTTCTAACGTTTGAGGCAAATCAGGTTGTATAATTAATATTAGAACGAAAAAAAAATTGTAAATAGTCAATTGTAATATAATTGTTCTCGATGCCTACTCCTAATGGTCGTAGTTCAGCAAAAAAAAAAAAAAAAAAAAAGGAAATATATTATAAAAAAATATAAATATATAACAAAACTTAATCAATTCTATGTGTCGGTTTTGATTAAAAAAAAATATATATATATATATATATATACGTATAGATTTTTTATCAATCTTTACTATATATGTGTAAAATGCGTATAGTTGTATAACTAAAAAAAAATCGATTTTAAATTTCCGGATATTTTTCATTTAGTCGCAATACTTGTAAATATTGAAAAAAAAAAATTTAAATAAATTTTTTTCCATTTTAATTAAACAAATATATATATAAAATACTGGGAATTTAATAGTGATTTTTTTTTTTTTTTCATATATTGTAGATTCAATTGTGTCTTTCACCTTTACGTAGGTCTTTTAACTCGATTTACAAACACCAATCGTTTCCTTTATCGGAATAAAAAAAAAGTATTAATTTATATATTAAAAATTAATTAATTTTTAAATTCTTCCAATTTATAATTTAATTATTTTTTCAGAGCAAAAAAAAAAATTTTTAATTCGGAACAAAATCGAAAAAACTATCATCGATTACGATTCAGGAAACGATTGGATGATTCATAAAAAAAAATGTCGTGCACGTCGTCGATGTGTTTACACTATTGAGTGTTTGAATTTCAAAGGGTGAAATTGTGTAAAATTGGAATTTAAAAAAAAAAGCAAAAATAAATATTTTCCATATTCGTAAAATGTCAAAAAAAAAAAAAATGAATTTTCGACTCCAAGATAGAATAGTCATTAAAGCGAAATTTTATTCACTTTGGCATCTTTAATAAAATTATTAAAAAAAAAAAAATTAAAAAAATTTTTGTTTCAAAAAGAAAACTATTTACAACTTCTTTGAAATTAGAAAAAAAAAACTATACAAACAAATTTGTTATGAAGAGAAAGTATATAAATAGTGAAAAAAAAAAAAATTGAAAATGGCAAAGAAATTCAAGAAAATCCGACATAATAAAGTATAATAGAATTTTTCAAGACTGGCAATCAAAATAATATAAAAATATAAGATTTATCTAAAAAATTTCGTGACAATTTGTTATGATAGGACATTGAAAATTACATCTCTTATCTTCTGTGAAATATGTGCTACTATGTTTAAATTATAATATAGAAAAATATAAGTGTAATATATATATATATATATAATCATTTATTAAAATGAAAAAACGTATAGAATAAAAAAATATTATATTATAATTACTTAAAAATTGTATAAGACAAGAGATGTAATAATCCATGTCTATCAATAAAATGAAGAATATAACCTTTTAAAAAAAATTATAAAATACAAACATAATAATAATATATTACTATATTATATCACTATTACCACTAATTACAATAATAATAAAAATAATAATAATATTGATTAATAACAATTATTAAAAATTCTTAATTATTCCTCATTTTCGCAAAGAAATAAATTAATCAACATAAAATTTTTTTATTCTTCGTCAAATTGTCACAAAATTTTTTTGATACATAAACATGATCGAAACGTATTTAAATAAAAAAAAAACCATTGTCTTAGGAACAAAAATGTTCAAAATTTATAAGTTAAATGTGTGCAGCTCCATTTCTATAATAAACCGAACAATTTTATGAATATCGCGCGTCTAATTGTAATACTAGTGCATATAGCTAGGTAGGTACCTGCATTTTGTGAATTTTAACATGCTTGGATAGATTCTCAATAAAATCGTTATACATGTTTTGATAATTATTGTCTCTTTCATTTATCAACCCTCAAACCAATTTTTTTTTTATTTTTATTTATATGAAATTTCAGTTTTTTAACTGAAATTAATTATTAAATTATTTTTTTAATATAATATAAAAAAATATACAAATATAAAGATTATCGATATAGAAATCTACCTTACTGACTGATGGTAAAGAATTTTTTCTTTTGAAAATGAAAATAAAAAAATTACCGGCATAGAAATCTACCTTACTGATTGGTGGTAAAGAAATTTTTTTCGAAAAAATGAAAGTATAAAATTATCGACGCAGAAATCTACCTTACCGACGACTGATAATTACCTACTGAGGATAAAACAGTTTTGAAAAGGTTGAGAAAAATTCAAAAACTACATAGAAACTACTGCATAGAAATCTACTTTACCGACTGATGGTAAAGAATTTTTTAAAAAATGAAAGTGAAAAATTACAGGCATAGAAATCTACTTTACCGACTGATGGTAAAGAATTTTTTTTTTGAAAAATGAAAATAAAAAATTACCGGCATAGAAATCTACCTTACGGATTGGTAGTAAAGAATTTTTTTTCAAAAAAATGAAAGTATAAAATTATCGACGCAGAAAACTACCTTACCGACGACTGGTAATTACCTACTTAGGATAAAACAGTTTTGAAAAGGTTGAGAAAAATTCAAAAACTACATAGAAACTACTGCATAGAAATCTACCTTATCGACTGGTGGTAAAGAATTTTTTTTCCAAAAAATGAAAGTATAAAATTATCGACGCAGAAATCTACCTTACCGACAACTGGTAATTACCTACTGAAGATAAAACAGTCTTGAAAAGGTTGAGAAAAATTCAAAAAACTACATAGAAACTACCGCATAGAAATCTACCTTACCGACTGGTGGTAAAGAAATTTTGTTCGAAAAAATGAAAGTATAAAATTATCGACGTAAAAATCTACCTTACCGACGACTGGTAATTACCTACTGAGGATAAAACAGTTTTGAAAAGGTTGAGAAAAATTCAAAAACTGTTTTACCATCAGTCGCTAAGGTTAATTTCTACATCGGTAATTTTTGTGGTTTCTTTTAAAAAAAAACCTATTTTACAATCAGTCAGTAAGGTAGATTTCTATGACGGTAATGTGATATTTTTCATATTTCAAAAAAGCTGTTTTGCCATCAGTCGGTAAGGTAGATTTCTAGGTGGGTAATTTTTTATATTTTTATTTAAAAAAAAAATTTTTACCATCTTGTTAATTTTTTTAACCATCTACAAGTATTCAATTTTATATTTATATATGTTTAATAATAATTTTTTTTTAGAAATTTTGTTTTTTTTAACTTACTTGGAACAGAAGAAATTTCTCCACAAGGATTCATAAAAAATATTTACTCTTGGTTTCATATTTACTTTCTTTGGGTCCACGATAAGTGGCCCAAATTTTCGTCACCGCGCCAATGTAGTTCTTTCATATTTTATGAATTTATATCTGTAAATGTAAAATAATTATTTTGTGTGACTTAAATGTTATTTTTATTTAAATATATTCTCTAATTTACACTGGAAAATAAAAAATAATTTGATTCAAATATAAATTACTTGACTATTATCGAAATAAATATTTACTTGAACCAAATAATTATTTATTTTAAAATTAAATAATACTTAAATTTAATTACATAATAATAATAGAACAAATTTTTTAATGTAAATTGATTAAAAAAAAAAAAAAAAAAAAAAACTTGTTAATTATTACATGGCAATGGCCCGCCTTTAATAGGTGTAAAGAGTTTCATAAGAAGTTTTTGATGATGTTAGCATTTACATTTATCGACGTTTACAAAAAAAAAAGAAAAAAAAAAAAATCATATACTAATAAGTTTGCGTCTCGTGTGCAGAAAAAGCCAATGGAAAAGAGTAACGTCTTCAATTTAGTTGTACGGCGATTTTCAGAGACGATAGTTGTTTTTTCTTTTTTGCGAACGATTGAAAAGAAAATATAAATATATTAGTGTTACGTTTTATCACAATAGAGGGAAAATTTTTTTCTCTAGTATTATTTATTATTATAAATAATATTGTTTATTAATGAATTGATATCATATATTGAATATAATAATAGCGATTCTATGAAATTTGACCCATTTTCAAAAATACATGTTTTCTTTGAAAATCATCGTCTTTAAAAATGATAGATCGTTGTTTTAAATAGAACTTCTTTCAGAAAAGATGGTTCATATAAAACCAGTTCTTTGCATTATTTATAGATTAAAAGAATATTTTTTACTTTCTTCATTTATTGAAAAAAAAAAATAAATAAATTATAAAAAATCTAGTGTTAAAATAATCAATAAATTGTTGTTTTTCAAAAAGCTAGACACAAAAAAAAGTTAATAAATTTGGAATACAAACACTGTTTAGGGAATTAATTATTAATTTTAAATCATAAAAATAAAAATCCTACTTGTGAGAAAAAAAGTCTTCTCCATCTATGAGCCCACGACTGAATTAAAAAACAAAGCGCGGTAAAATTTAAAAGTAATTTCAAAATTTTTCTCTGACCTAAATTTTTTATTAATTGAAGTTATAAGAATAGTCTGTATACCTCATATCATAACTGACGATAATGGGTTTATCTTCTAACAATCGCTGTAATTTAAGTTCATTCTCTCAGTGAGAAAAACATCAAGAAAAAGTGTTTTTATAAATAGATAATTAAAAAAAACTATATTATGTATATAAATTTGATATAATTTTTCTATAATTAAAAGTTTGAAAGAAATGTGTTTATTCAAGTTCTGATTTTTCTTCTCTACTTATTACTCTGCAGATAACAATATTTTTTATGCGATACACGGAGAAAAAGAAAAAGTAATTTTTACTACTTTCAGAGTAAAACTGGACCAACTCGAAGTTTCTGCGCATCTCTGGCAATTTTTACTCCAAAAATAGTAAAATTTATTATTTCTGTAGTAAATTTTACTGTTTCCGTAGTAAGTTTTACTATTTCTAGAGTAAATTTTACTATTTTTGGAGTAAAAATTGACAGAGATGCGCAGAAACTTCGAGTTGGTCCAGTTTTACTCTGAAAGTAGTAAAAATTACTTTATAAAAGAAATCTTTTTTCTCCGTGTAGTTTTGAAAGGAATTATGGGAAACTCTCACTGCTGCATTCAACAAGAAAAAAAGGTAAATAGCTAAAATTAAAAAAAAAATTAATTTTAACAATAATTTCCATAAAAAAAATATTTTTACTATTTTCCAATCTTATTCAAAGCGTATATATATATATATATATATATATATATATATAGTCAATATGGAAATGAAGCAATAAAATAGACGCATTTTAATGGCGCTTTTACAATAAGTGGGTGGTACTTAGAAGATACAAGGTTACAGAAATGATACGATTGTCTCGGGAGCGATTTTTTTTTTCCCTCAAAAAAATTAAAATTTACGAGTGACAAAACACCTTTAACTTAATTTACCATGTCATATATCTTAAATAAACACTTCTTATGACACAAATAATTTTCAATATTTATCGTCAATGTAATATGATCTTGAAACATTGCATTGTTAATTCTAAAACCTTCAGCCAATCAATCTTTATAAATATACTACGCTTAAATAAATTTTCCAAATAAAGAAATTGCCTATATTAAACAATAAGATTCTCACAATTTGTTTTTGTATGGATTTAAAAATTTTGTTTGGTTGCTATACAACAAATTTTAAGTCGTTACAACAATTTTCTATTGTTATGCCAACGAATATATATATATTAGTAATACTAAGAAATTTGTGACTACAGCAATACGAATTTGTTGTAGCAAACAAAATTTATGGTTCCAGAAGACAGAATTAAACAACTCGCAGCAATTTCTTTTTGTAAAGAATAATAATAAACTAAAGAATATTCTTAATGTCAATGACGTGACCTGTAGATAAAAAAAAACTGACAATGTTTCTTAGAAAGTTGATTTCTGATTTAAATTGATTTCTTCGCATAATACTGATTTTCTCAAACTGATGATCTTAAGAATATATTTGTCGACTGGGTCAAGGGACAGGAATGAAATTCTCATTGTTCTCAGTGCAATTAAATAATAACATTGCACTTTGAAAGAATTAAAGATAAAATTTATAACATCAAATAACTAGTCGCATGGAATTTTATCTAAACATTTTCTTTATCTTAAGATGTGAAAAGAATTTTGTTTCACTGAAAAAAGGGTTTGGTATTGACAACCAAATGTTTGGTTGGTATTTAACCCAGGTGAAACGATTCTACGGAAATCACTCCACGGAAATTCCATACGGAATTCCGCAAAAATTCTATACGGAATTCCGCATAATTTTGAAAGTATTCCTTTCGTAATTTTGCGAATTTTTTTTGGAAGAATTCCATACAGAATTGCACAAAATTTTCAATAAAATTCCACAACTTTATTTGTTGCTGATTTTTTTGTGATTTTAAAATAACTGCTGCTACTATAACGAAAACTAGTCGACGATTATGTTCCTGGTGGATATAATATATAGAATTTATGAAAGATTAATTAATATCTAGTCGAACTTATTTGAGAGGTCAATAAAACGTTTTCCAAATTTTTTTATTTTTTTTTTATTTATTCAATTAGATTTCTGATTTATTTAATGTGTTTGCAATTTTTATTTTAATATATTACTTCTTTTCACCATAAAAAAGCTGATTCTTATTATTTACAAAAAATTGCTGAGAAATTGAACTTTCTTTTAAAACTAAATCACTCGTTATAGTAACAGCTAAAACTAATTTAAAAAATTGTTATTTTATTTGATATAATTATATGGAAGTTTGATTCTATACCTTTAGGCATGCATTTAGAGGTCATTTTTCTCGTTAAAAGTGTTCGGTTGACACCTTGATTCCTAAACATCAGATCATAACGTAAATTTTATTTTATACACTGTAAAAAGACTAGTAGATTTTACTACTTATTAACAACCTTGCATTATTCAATACGTCGACAACGAAATTTAAAAAGTTGTATTGACTACCAAAAAGTAGATAAAAGAACTAAGAATATAGTTGGTCCGATGAGATTTTGTAGTTGACTCAATTACATTTTTAAGTCAGATCAATACTAGGTAATTATTAATTCTATAAAAAATAGTTAAATTGACTACTCGCATTTTTAACCAAATTTTTGGTTAAAAGTAACCAAAAAATTAGTTACTGTTACTATTTTTCAGTCAACTAACTAACGGCAGTTGAATTTCTCGACTAATTTTTTTCAGTGTATCCACCAGCAGTTATTTTAAAATTACAAAAAAAAAATCAGTAAAAAATACACTCAATAAAAAAACTAGTAGATTTGACTACTTTTTTAACTATACCCTGCACTCAAAAAAATAAGTAGTAGATTTGACTACTTTTTAACTACCCTGTATAGTATACAATAGGTCCTCAACTCAATTTTAAAAGTTGTACTAACTACTAAAAAGTAGTTAAAATAACTAAGAATGTAGTTGATATAATAAGATTTTGTAGTTAGTTTTAAATTCTAACTACATTTTTGAGTTAATTGTACTAATTTTTAACTAAATTTTTTTCAGTGTACAGTTGTGAAATTCTAACAAAAATTTTGTGCAATTCTGTATAGAGATTATGTGTGTAATTCTTATAAAAAATTCGCAAAATTACAAAAGAACTTGTTTCAAAAATTTTGCGGAAATTTTTGCGGAATTCCGTATATAATTTTTACGGAATTCCGTGTGTAATTTCCATACAGAATTTCCGTGGAGTAGTTTCCGTAGAATCGTTTTATATAAGCAACAAAAAAATTTTGGTTGCTTAAATAACAACCAAACGTTTGGTTGTCAATACCGAACCTTTTTTTCAGTGTTCTTTAATGAAAAATACTAATTTCAAAAAGAAACGAAATTTTGATAACATAAATAATCAAAGAAATAAATGTGGGTTTTTTTGGTGAAGGCATTTCCTGTACGAAAATTTTTTGAGAACGAAAAAGAATTATGTTTATACAGACATGAGGGTTTTATATATATATATATATATATATATATATATATATATATATATATATATATATATACTGTCAGCCATGCAAAATGTACGATTTCTTGTAACATTATATATTACGTGGTATATTATGGCACAATTATATACTTTATGCATACAAGTAGGCGTACTCGCGTAACATCAACAATAACAAGCTCTCTGGTGACGTGTGACGAGAATACAGCATCTCGTCTACATAGACGGCTTTGTGAAATCTGCATCGCGCTTACCTCAAAAGAATTTGCATATCGCACATCGCAACAAACATATATATATATATATATATATTCCCTTCTTTATGTTTTATCTCTTCGATAAATTTTTATTTATATTTTACTCGTAAAATTAATAATTTTGTTTCCTAAAAATCTGTATTGTTATAGTAATCCTTATTAATACCTAACAATCTATTCAATACA